AATCACGCTTATCAAAGGGAATAAATTAAAGCTTCCTGGATCTTATAACAAAAACAAAGCTAAAGAAGCATTTGCAGTGAGAAAGAAAAGAGTTTCTTTTCACCAGTGCATACTTTTTTTCTGAGAAATCTCCCTGTTTTGTAACCCAGACAGTTAGAAAGTCCAACCGAAATTACAGAAGCTAAAAAATCTAAAGCTAAGTGAGCTGAATAAAATCTTGGGTTTCCTTATGTGTGAACAGAGCTAAGATGCCATTCTTTAAGCCAGAGAGCAGCTACTCTGCAGTGTGCATGGTGTGTGTGTGCACGCCCATGCACACACACATGTGTGTGGTACTGGGGATTGGACCCAAGGTTTTCACACTGAGCTGCATCTCCAGCCCTTTTTATTTTTTATTTGGAGATAGGATCTTGCTAGGCTGCCCAAGCAGGGCTTGAACTTGCAATCCTCCTGTCTCAGCCTCTCCCAGATGTTGGGATGACAGGCGTGCAGCACCACACCCAGCTTCTGTATCTCTCAAGATAGAACTGCTATGAGAGCTTGGGGACACCCCTCTCCTCTGTTTTATAATCTAATGGTAGCGCCATGATGGTACTTGAGAAGGTAACATACAGACAGAAATTCGAGAAATGTCAGATTTTGGAGCAGAATCCCCTCTTGCTGTGGGGGTGGCAGTACAGACTGGCAAAAAGCACCCCAAAACTGTCGTGCTGCACCTTGTAAAGTTGGGACGGGCCCTGCGACGCAGCAACACCGTTCACGAGAGCAGCAGCACACATGTACCAGCTGTGGAGAAGACAGATTTCATTAGACACTCGGACACCCTGGAAACAGCTGGAATTCCATCAACGGCACAGTGGATCAAGGCTGCGAAGCAGTAAGGAGACCCTACACGAGAGCCATGCGGATGGAACTCGGGGGGTGGTGGCCGGGCACAAGTCCGTACCTGCTGTGTGATTCCATTTCATCAAGTTCAGACCCAAGCAAAGCCAATGCAAGCATTCCAAGTAAGTCTGTGGGTACCTGGGCTACATAAGTTTGTCCTCTGACTTCGTAATAGTGACGCAGGCATTTGCACCGTGCGTAATCCATGGAGCTGCACATCACGCTGCGAGCAGTGTTTTTCTTCTTGTTTATTTGTTTGTTTGGTACTGGGAATTGAAGTCAGGACCTTGCACTTACAAGCAGGTGCTGTGGCACTGAGCTATATCCCTGGTCCTTGGAGCAGGTTTTGTGTTTCAATATGCATGTCATGCTATGCTTCCAAAAGGAGTTTGCATTCAAATGCTAACTCATGTGAGTGTGTTGGGCAGCTGTAGGAGTGTGTCACTGTCCTGACATGGTTACACGCGTGCTATAACTAGAGTGCCACTTCACACTCATAGTGGAACACACTGCCCTACTGCATGGCTCTGCTGCTGCAGCGCAGGCATTTGGAGAGCTTTGTGCAGGAAGCAGCTCTCCCTTTGGGCCAAGGCCTCCATTGGTGGTAGATACTTTGTAGGCTGCACACTTCATGACCATTAAGGATTCTTCAGACGCCTACTAGGTGCCAGGCACTCTGTGGACAGTGTTAGTTCTGTGCTACCCTAGGAGGTAAGTGTAAGAGACAAAAGCCCCTGAAATTCAGAGAAACTGATCATCCTGCTCAAGCAGGTGTTGGCTGGTAAGAAACAAGGCTCAGTTTTGGCCTCAAGTCCAAGCTGCACTTGGCTATGAGTATCTCATCTCATCCTTCCTCCTGCATACAAAAAAGATGGCCTCACATCAAGTCTGTAAGGAATGACCACGTCCTATTAACAATCAATCCGTAGGACTGGAATAAACCAGCATCCTCCATCCTAGCCCTGGCAAAATTGAGCAGTCTCTCTCCCTTGTGGCTTCGTTATGGTCCGAACAACACTCACACATCTGATGCCTCCTGGAGGCCCCGGCACAAAGCTCAGCCCAGGCAAAGCAGGCTGGAGTGATTGGTCCTGTAACGTAGGATGGCTTCAGGGATAGAGGGCTAAGGAAAGCAGAGGTAGGTGCACCCAAGACATCAGGGACGCCCTCTCCAGGGCTGGAGATTGAACCTAGGGCCATATGTGTTGAAACCTCAGCAATGCTTGCGGCCAGTACTTCCTCTTCTGGAAATGAAAGGGGTTGGAGCACTCTTACACACACCATCTCTTTGACCAAAAGCCAGTTTATTAGAATGATATCAAGTATTAACTACACAACAAACTTCTTGCCCTCATGTAATTGAGGAAATCACTATATAGTGATTTGTAGCACCTTTCAGTGACTGTGAAATATCCTCTCCTCAGCTCAGTAGGTAGAGAAATTTAGAAGGCTGATTTTAACCACTTCTTGAAAATTTAATTGGAAGACAGAATAAAAGCTGAATATATATTGAGATTCAGGCACCACGAGGTACTGGTGAATGTACAGAATATGCCTTTTTTCTTACGTTGGATGAAGACAATAACTGATCTCCAATTTCCTTCCACAAGGAAAGACTTATAATCCTACTGGTTCTGTATCCAGGCGGAAGTTAGCAACATACAATTATCTATTTTGCACTGGAGTCCAGATATATCACTGACACAGAAAAAGGGTAAAACCAGCAAGGAAGATTGGTATTCGGTGGAGGAACACGGAACTAAGACACACTGCCAACAGCTTGTGTGAATGCAGATGAATTGGGTGAAACACGGACCCCTGAAAACTTTCCTTATTCACCTACGAAAGGGCTTTCTTTTTAAATTCCTGGAAATCTATCATGGGAAAGAGGCAATCACAGGCCAGTGAAATTGACAAAGGAAATAATTTAGTGCCCTTGGTTAACTCACTTTTGGAAAGAACCACAATACACTCAGGATTATGAGAGCTTTTCAAAGGTGCAAAGATTCGCAGATCTGTAAAAATGCCATTAATCTTGGTCTTCCATGAGTTTATCGTCATAGCCACCTCATGAGGTGGGGTCAGCTAGGACCAGGATCCTGGAAAAGCCGTAGTTGCTCAGCGGGGTTAACTTATGTTGCCAAGGGAAACCGAGTGATTCTGCAGTTTTAAGCTTTCTCCATCTGAATGCCCCTGGGCCATCCACTGTGGAGTCCCTGTGACTTCGAGGCCTGCGGCGGGTAGAGCAGCCCAGTCCACTCTGCGGCTCCGCTGTGCTCTGATCCTCACGTGCCAGCCTGACAGCGATGGGGTCCCAGCACATGACAGTCACATACCCTTGTCTTGTGGAAGCTGATGAAACCCATCTGCTCCCAAATTCTGCTTGCTAAGCAGCATCACGGAAACGTCCGGGATACACAGTGGCAAATGCCAGGAATAGCAAAAGAACTGAGGCAGGAAGACAACGGTGCATCCCCATGAGTCCCCAGCAGGTTTGGGGGTGTGTGTGCCACATCTCGCACACGGTAGCTTCTGACATTATAGCTTAGACAAGGTAGAGCTGTGAAGCCTGACGTGAACATCACTGGCTCGGGTTCTAGCGTCCCCTGGAGCCTCACGGTCAAACATGGGTGCAAGTTTATGACAACTGAGGGCAGACTCTGTAAGGACCTTGGGAATGGCCCAGGAAGGGAGCAAGCTGGGCGCTGAGGACCAGGGCAGCTGCAAGATCGCCCCGACACCCACCACCAGCCACAGCCTCCATTGGAGACCCCTTCCTGACACAGGGACTGCGGGCATCACCGTCACTACCTTGCTTCTCTGTCCTTGTGGTGCTTGAGGACAGACAGGCCACCTGCCCAGGCTCTGGGCATGGCTGCTGTGCCTGGGAGCCCCTTAAGCACCAAGCTAGCAGCGGATGAGGATGACGGAAAGGAGCACTTTGCCCCAAACTTAAGTACACACGTTAATTCTGTCACCATGAAACTGACGTGGCAGTATTGACAGAAAGCTACAGATGGGACACATCTTGAAATGCTGTGGTCTCTGTATCAGTATGACTGACAGGGTCACTTTGCATCTGGCTTTTGTCCCTAAGGAGGTGCATGCCTCGGGCCAACCCTCACTTTCTGCTGCTTGAGGAAGGCGAGGGTTCCCCCCGCTGGGACCAGAAGGGACAGCAGCCGCGGGGTGGGTTTTAAGGTTTGCGACTCTGCTAGCTCCTTTACTCAAGAAAAGTGAACTGGGCGAGGAACGTGAGGCTTGGTGAGGCTGACCCGTCAGTGACAAGGCAATGCCAGGCCCGATCCTGCGGCCTACGACCCACTCAGACACAGGGCCACCGAGTCATCACCACAGCGACCTGCGGATCACAGCTAAGCACAGGCGAGGCTGGGCGAGATGCTGGGCTCAGGCCAGCACTGGGAGGCTCCCTCGAGGTCATTCCTTGTCCCGCCCCCTGCCACTCCCCACCCCCATCCTGCGGCCCTTGTCCCTTCCCAGTCTTGCTTTCACACACTGGACGAAATATAACCTATAACCGATACTGGCTAAAGGGCGTGATGCTCACCAGAAGCTCTGCCTCTCAGAAACCCCATGGGAGCGATTCTCCACAGTGTGAGGAAGAGGTGGCACCCGGCCTCAGACAAGCAAGGCCAGGAGGCTCTGTACACCAGTCTAAGAGGGAACGGCCACGGCCCTGTGCTCATGGCTTCCAGTAAGGGCCACACCTTGACTGCTGAAGCCGCCACCTGGCTCAAGGGAGACGGGGCCACAGCGTCTCAGTGGGCGAGACTGTCACACAGACCTCTTCTGACAACCAGCACTTCTGGCTAAATATGGATCATCACGTGCAAGACTTGTCACGGCCACTGCTGGGCCCAACACTGCAATGCACACACACATTTTCACAGTACAGAGAAACACACACACAAAAAAGTCGGACAGAACTGTAAAGAAGCAATGCAGTTAAATGAATACTTATTAGATCAAAGGAGGAATTACTGTTTGACTTGTCAATGTACTATAGTTAGAAAAATTTCCCACATAGAAATATTATGTTTAAACGTACAATAATTTCAGCTACCACAGATTTAAGATTTTGGACAAGAATAAGATTTTGGATAAGAATATATTTTATTTTTTCATAAAAGTTCTAACAAAAATATATTTTTTTCTTTAACTTAAAAATACAGCTTTAGAAAGCAAAATTGAGGTTGTTATAATTCATTACACGTTTTATACAGAGCAGTGAAAGGAAAAAGTCAACACAATGGATTTAACTTCTAAATACCAAAATAATCATTTCAGAAGCTTGACTTTGTCCTTTAACAACCGGAAGCTTGGGTTCTTGCTGATTTTCTTGTTGAAGATGACCAGGAGCTCCTCCTCCGACCTGTGAGAGTCATTCGTCACCGTGTAATACTGAGCCAAGACCTTCACAAAGAAAAACAAGGTCAAATGGGTACATTTCTCCTGGAAATTTACCTTAAGAGGTTCTTCGTTTCACTCAGGGACAGGCGGGGGCACCTGTGGCTGTGTCACAGTTGGGTATGCGTGAGGAAAGAAGGAACCTCTGCACTGGAGGCTACCTAGCACAGTCATTCTCAAACATAAAGAAAATTCCGTAGAGCCTCTCTGCAGTCTCTGAAGCAGGTACCATGTCCAGGTGTGGCGCTGGCTGACGGTCGCATGAGGGTTTGGCCCAACCCCTGCCCCAGACCCCGAGGGGCAAAGCAGGCAGCCAGGAAATCACCAAGACACACACCCTCTTTCTCTCCTAAGACATTTTAGGTTAAAAACCAGAAGAGTATATTAAACATAAATTCTCCCCAGCCACACCACACCAAGGCCCGTTCGCATGGCATACCTTTTTCCTCAGCTTCTTGACTGACACTTCATTCTCCGGGGCCTGCCTCAGGACTGCCTTAATAGTTCCCTTCCAGTTGAATTTACCTACGATATAAAGGCTTAACGTGAGGGTGGGCACTCTGAAGTGAAAACAAGCGAAATGACCTGGTCCCCTGATAAACAGGTGCCGGAGGACAGTGGGCAGGGTCCTCCTTCATCAGTCCAAGCACTGGGGCCTTGAAGCACCTGCGGCCCTTCCTGGTCCTTGATCTCACAGTGAGAAGTGACATGGGCTCCACAAGCACCACTGCCGGACAAAACCCTGGGCAAAGGTCACCTGCACCCCACGGGCCCAACACCAGGATGCAGTGAGTATCCCCAACATCACAGGGCTGTGAGGGCTCAGCCAGGAGATGAAGACAGCAGGAGTCGCTCTGCCCTGAGTGAGAGGGGACAATCACACGTCACTGTACTGCGGTCTCTCATGCTGGGGACCGCACTTCCGGAAGGCATCCTTTCCTTAGTCCTCGTGCTAAGAACCAAGAATCTGGACCTACGTGGACAGCCTCCATGGGATGACTGCAAGGTGCATAGACACGTAAGGATGCTTAAGGCTCACTTATCCCTTACAGCTGCACACAAATCTATGAGTTCAAAAAAAATTTAGGTTGTAAAAACTCATTGTGCACAGAGCTAGGAGAGGGTTTCAAACTAAGGGATCGAACCTAACTTGGCCAGTCCCGACCTCCACTGGGAAAGCTGCAGTCTCCTCTGGGTCTTGGGGTGGGACGCAGAGACGAGGACTGGCCACTTCAGCGAGAGCAGCTCTGCAGGACAGGCTGCCTGACGAGGCCCCCGGAAGGCGCGTGGCCTACAGGACACAGGTGGCACCGATGGGCAGGGGACAGCTGCACCTGCCTCGACCTCAGGGAAGCTCTGGAGTCTAACAGGATGCAGGAACAAGAGGACTGGGGCAGGGGGAGGAAACAAGAGCTCTGGAAGCCACGCTAGGGTCCTCTTCAATCCCAAAGGCAAAGCACTGCTGCAGATTGGACCTGCAGTGTCCCCTACAAGCCCACAATGGCTGGGCCCCTCCCTGGCACTGGCAGAGCCTTTAAGAGGTGAGGCCTGGCGGCAGTCTTCCCAGGACTGCGGAGGCACCCTGGAAGGGGACTGTGGGACACAGGCCTCTGCTCTTCCTCTTTCACGTCCTAGACGTGAAGTGAGCAGCTCCACTCCAACCCAACAGCTATGGGGTCACTGTGGCCAAGGCCTCAGACACTGCCGCCCCAAACACATCTCTTTCCACAAACTGATGCTCTTGGATACTTGTCACCAGAACAGGACGCGGATACATACAGTTCCCACCCAGACTCCAACTTCTTTGCCTTATAGTCAGAGGAACACGGCCCTGTGATCCTACCCGCCCAGCAGCATTAAAGCGCAGGGCCCCACCACAGGGCCTGCTCCACACCAGCAGGGCCATCTCCGGCCCCTTCTCCAGGCTGAAGCGATGGTGCTTTTCAGTGATGGTGAGATACCTTTCGCAGGAGCCTCCTGGTCTTCCGGTTCTCTGTCCTCAGAGTCTCCTGGGAATGTCACCTTTTTCTTCTTAGAATCCACTTCAACTAAGTATTTAGAAAAATGTAAAACAAACCAGCCAACCATTGAATGAGAGCCTTGCTCATATCAGCACACCAGACACATCACCTTATCCCCCCAGCGGCCCAGCGCGGAGCCGTGTCACCCTGCACGCTGAGGAGGGTGTCGCATCAAGGTCACCACCTGACCAAGCGCAGCTCAGTCTGGGCCCAGAGCTTACACTCCTTGCCCCGTGTGGCTCCGAACGCAAGCTCTGACAGGTTTCACGTGCCCGGTTCGCAGCGTGACCGTTCTGGTCCCAATCCGAGAGCGCACACAGCCACGTACCTTCCGAGTGCTTCCGCTTCCTCTTCCGCGCGGCGGGCTTGGTCTCCTCGTCCGCACCGTCCTTGCCCTCTTCCGCCGCCCGCTTGCCCTGGCCCTGCTTCTTCTTGCCTTTCTTCTCCGCCGAGCCGTTGGCCTTCGGGGCCTCCCCGTCAGCCTCGCGTTCCGTCTCCTGCCCCTTTTTGCGCTTCTTAGGCTTCTGACTCTTTGAATCTCCTTGGTGATTTTCTAATTTCAGTTCTTTCTTTTCCTTTTTCCTGTTCTTCTGCCGTTCTTCCTTCCTTTCTCTTTTGTTCTTCTTTGCCGGCCCCTGCTCTTCTGCGGGCCCGTTTGTGTCAGACGGGGGAAGCTTGGCGGCGCCTTCCGCAGGTGGCTTGGCTCCTTGCTCGGGGGGCTGTTGGTCCTGCCCCTTATTCCCTGGCTCCTTTGTGGGGAAAATCAAGAAACACATCAATATCTGTCTCACTGTGGGGACACAGACGATCACATCACTGTGGTTACCTACAAAATACATGGTTTCATGACTTAAGACTTTCATAACCCAGACCGCACCCCAACTGCTAAATACAGCAATAAAAGCCCCAAGTGGGGAAAAACTTCCCCCAGCCCACACAGCTCCCTGCACTGAGCCTATGCCCAGACGGTTTCGTCCACTGGACAATGGAAGAGTGGAGACTCCTCATGCCGCGTAAGCCAGACCGTGAATCCTGCTCACTCACTATTCAGATTCCACTTGGATGCGAAAGGAACGCTCAGGTGTGGAGACCGCTGGACCTGTCTGCAGGCCTGCGTTCAGGTGACTCGGACAAGCCACTCACCTGCTCCGTCCCTGTCCCTCACCTGCCTCACACAGCTGGTGTGTGGACAGAATGACACAAGGCACGCGCTCAGCACAGCGGGCGCTCAGCACCGTAGCAAAGGGCTCTGTGAAGTACCAAGCACCAGATGAAAGCACTGTTACTGCACCGTCTCCCAGATGCCAGGGGGCCATGCACCGGGCACAGGGACAGCAACTGGCTGTGCCCAGGTCAGTGTGCTGGTGCAAGGTGCGGAACCCTAAGAGACAGGGCCTTGGAGAGGTGCTGGGTGACCGCAGGCGCCATCCTTGGAGGGGATTAATGCTGGCCTCCGAAGGACTTAGCTTTCTCAAGAGCAAGCCTTGCCTCCATCTTGCCACAAGATCTCTTCCAAAAACATCTCCACTGTGATGTCATCTGCCGTGAACATATTCAGGGGTTGAGGGTTCAGCAGAGGCTGAACAGATGAGGCTACCCGATCCTGGACTTCCAGATTCCAAATTGTGAGCCAAGTAACCTTTATTCTCTATAAAGCACCAGCCTTAAGTATATTTTCTTACAGCACCAGAAAATAGACTAATACCAAGCCAAAGGAAACTAAAAAGCTCGGTGCACTGGAACAAGACAGCCATCCCATCTATCGTACCTAATTACAATCAGCACATTGGTCCTGTACGGAGCAGGTACACCAGCACTGCTCAGCCCCATTCCCAGCGGCACGCCTGAGCCCTGCGCCTGCCCCTGCAGAGGAAGAAGTGGCCAGACAGCAGCCACAGGGCCACTCTGGGTGCTGGGGACCTGTGGGCTGGGGCATTTTAGGTCCCGCTCCATTTGTTACTAGCCAGATGACCTGGGCAAGTTACCCACAGTCTTCTCTGAAGGACCAAAGGCCCTCGGCAGAGTGAGAGACACAGCCCTGCTGCTCAATGCCTGGGAGAGCAGCACAGGAAATGGACATTCAGCTACACTGTTCAAGTTTCTTCAGGAGCTGTTCAGAGATATCAAGCTGTAAAGACTCAGGGAAAAGAAGCCAAGCAGAAACCTAGAAATAGACTCAGAAGGAAGAAGGGAAGAGAGATTCTGTACCTTCCGGTGAAATGCCACATAATGTGCTATCAGCTTCCCGTTACCATGATACCCAAGGCAACGGACCTACAGAGGAAAGGTTTCCTTTGGCTCATGGTTCTGGAGGATCCAGCCCAAGGTCAAGTGGCCCTCACTACCACAGACCTGGAGGCCACACCTCCAGGGCAGGAGCCCTGGGAAAGCACACTACTCAGCCTGAGCCAGGAAGCAAAGAGCAAGAGGACAGGCCCAGGGCCCCAGGACCCCTTCAAGGGCACCCATGCCTCTGTGACCCAAGGCCTAGGCCTCACCTCCCAAAGCCTCCCCAACTCCCAAGAGGGCCAGCTCAGGGGTAAGACCTCTACCACACAGACTATCAGGGGTGCTCAACACCCAAATAGCCTCCCTGCCATTTAGCCGAGACCAAGTCTCCAGGTGGGGCCTTGCCTCTACCTCCGAAACAGCCCCTGCCAGAGCTGCTCCATAAACGAGCGTGCCAACCCTGCCCACCTTGCCCACCTTCTCCCTACTCCACTGTGGTCCTCCTGAGGGACGCCGGCCTGCTGTGCCGACTCCTCCCAAACAGAGCCCCCTCCCTTCCTGTCTGCCTCACTGCCCGTCCACATAGCTCTTCCCGCACTGCTGCTTTGCCTGCTGGAATACGGCTCCCTGAGGGCAGGACGATGGCTACTGACGGCTGCACCTGCAGGCCCAGGCGCCACTGCCAAGGGGAGGAGCTGCACAGCGGAGCAAGCCCCCACTCAACACTTGGTGTAGTTAGGGAGGGAAACTGGCGACATGTGTGAACCAAGGCACAGGACTTCTGCTCTGTATGAAGGGCTCAGCCTTGGCTGTGTGGGGCACCACTGGGCTAGGGCAACCACTGACCACAGAGCTGCCCGAGTGACCTCCAAGTCGCCACCCTCCGGCCTCACCCTCCCTGAGCGCTGGGATTGCAGCTGCGCCACCAAGGCCAGCTTATATTATGGATTTTATTTATTCATTTTTTCTTTTTGAGGTCCTGGGGCCTTTGCACTGAGCTACATCCCGGCCCCTTGTACCTTCAGACTGGGTCTCACTAAGTCAAATCTGCAATCCTGTCTCAGCCTCCCAGGGAGTGAGAGTTATAGGCCTACACCACCATCTCTGGCTATTTTATGTATTTTTTAATGTGCTTTCAAAAGAGAAACTGCAAAAGGAATCTTAAATGACCTAGTCATAAGCCTCCAAAGGTCCAAGTTGTACATTCTGAAAGAGAATGATGCTAGATATATTGCCAAGATAAACTTTCACTCTGGTTCCAATTTGCAGCTAAATTATTTTCTTTACATATATAACTCCCAATAATTTATCTAAAATAAGACCAGGCAGAGCCCCCATGATTTGGGGCTCTGATGGAAGCTCCAGAGACAAGCAAAGCCTAACAGGCGGGCGATGTATTTATTAGAATGGAACCAGAAGGGAGGAGGCGCCAGCTGAGCAACTTGAGTGCCAGGCGTCCTCGGGAAGCACTGAGACCTCCCGCGGCTCTCCCCACACACCGAGGACCACCCAGCCACAAGCTCTTGCTTTATTTTTCTGCTTAGCACCAATGCCACTCCTGACATAGATCAGGAAGCTGAGGCTCAGAGGCTGAATCGTGTGCCTGGGATTACACATCTGGCAAGCAGCACAGCAAGACTTGAGCCAGGGCTGTCAGAAACCTGAAGCTCTGTCTTCCCAGTACCCTCACTGCCTGACTTCTAAGCTGGTCATTAGCCTTAGCTGGTACCAGGATCATGCAATGGGATTCAATATACCTTTCTCGGCACAGTAAGAAAATCTTTTCGCTAGTGCAGTTTATTCTGTCCCAGAAAAGAAGACACAAAGACGTTCTTTAAAAAAGGCCATCTTGACCTCCAAATGTCACTCATTTGCATTTCATTATTACTAATTGCTCCTGTCACGCTGCAGATCTAAAATCGGATCTAACTTACACTGCTGGAAGCTTCTGAGAAGATGTTCCACACCTGCTCCAGAATGGATTCATTGTAAACTTTTAAGCTATTCTTCATCCAGTTCTGCAAGGAGCAAGAGGGAAAAGAATCACGTATCTCATTTTGATGGAACACAGAAGCGCACTCACTGATGGTCACACAGCCCCCTCAGAGAAGCCAATCAAATCCATACCTGAAATTTTGCCTTTTTCCGGGGCACATTGTCAAAAGCACTGATTTGCTCTAAAAGTTCTCTCACTTTGGGGCTGACATTAGGTTTCTTTATTAATTCGTTAATTTTCTACAAAAAATATAAGACAATAAACAAGCAACATGTAAGTTTCATGAAAGCCAATCCCAAGGTCCGTTCTATGGCTAAAGTATTCACATTTTATGGATTCTGTATTTATGTCTAAGCTTAAACATGTATAGATCAACTATTATTCATGATAGTCCTAGCCAGATCAGTTAGGCAAGAAATGAAAGGCTTCCTAATTGGAAAAGACAAAATAAAGTAAAATTACCTCTGCTCACATAAGATAGACACCTATGTAGAAATGTGGTCTCAGATGCAGAAAGCCTTAACAATAGTATTGGGAAGTTGTAGTATATAAAATTAACTCCCCAAAATCATGTTGAATTTTCATACACTAAGAGTAATTCAAGAAGAAAACTGTTCCATTTGCAAAAATATCAAATAGAACACAGAATAAGCCAGGTACAGCAGCACACACTTGCATGCCCAGTTACATGGGAGGCTGAGGCAAGAAGGATCACAAGCAAGCCAACTCACTTAGCTCAGGCAACTTAGCAAGACCCTATGTCAAAATAAAAACTAAAAAGGGTTGGGAGACTGGGAGGCTGGGAGGCTGGGAATGTAGCTCAGTATAAGTTCCCGGGTTCAATCCCCAGTACTACAAACAAAACAAAACACAAAACTCAGTAGAATAATTAGGAAAAACATAACCAAAGAGGTGAAAAACTTGTATACTGAAAACTGCAAAACACGGTTAAAAGAACTTGAACAAGAACATCCATCCTGTGCTCATGGAATGGAAGGCTTCATAGTGTTGAGATGTCAGTTCTTCCCAAAGCAAAGTAACCTACAGATTTAGTGCAATTCCCATCAAAATTCAGGTTACACATATATTCTTTGACAGAATCCTTCTAAAATTCACATGGACTCTTCCTGGACTCTAATCTAAGCAATTTTGAAAGGAGAACAGATTTTGATGTCAAAACTACTACAAAGCTGTAATTCAAATGGTGTAATGATAGTCCCATGGACACAAACAGATGCTTGCATAAATGATCACACGACTTCAGACAAGGATATTAAGCCTTAGTCAATGGAAGGGAGGAATGTTTTCAATGGATGATGATGAGAAAAGTCATATTTACCAGAGAAGAATGAGGGTGGACTCTTACCTCCCGCTACGTACAAAAATCATCTCAAAATGGATCAAAGATCTAAACTTAAGAGGTAACAGCATAAACTCTCAGAAGAAAGCACTAACACTATAAACTCATATATTCAAGACACCAAATTTGGCAATGATTTCTTTCATGACACCAAAAGCACAGGTAACAAAATGAAAAAATGAACCAGACTACAATCAAAATTAAAATGTATGCATCAAAGGATACTATCAACTGAGGGAAAAGAAAACCCATGGAATGGGAAAAAAATATTTGTATATCACATTTGATACAGGTTTCATGTTCAAGATATACAAAGAGCTCCTATAATTCAACATCAGAAACAAACTAATTTTTAAAATGGGCAAAGAACTAGACACTTCTCCAAAAAAGATAAACAGATGGCCGATATACATGAAAGGATGTTCAACATCACAAATCAGCCATATGCCCATTGACAGGGGAATGGATAAAAAAGATGTGGGTTTTTTTTATATACAATGGAGTACTACTTAGCCATAAAGAAAGATAAACTTGAGACATTTCTAGGTAAATGGATGCACCTTGAGACCATAATCTTAAGTGAAATAAACTGGACATCCCTGTAAGTATCACATTGTCTCCGTGGTGTAACAGACTGAAAGCGTACATAAAGACCAAAATGTACAAGAGGTACTGTAAAATAAGAAGAAATTACTAAAAAGGGAAAGAAGAATTAGGGGACGGGGAGGGGAAAGGAAGGAAGGGAAAAAATGATAAAAAGAAGGATAAAATGGGAAAAAAAAAAGCTTTGTAAATAAGGAAAGGAGGAGTTGAAGAGAGGGGAAGGGGTTTGGGGAAAAAGAGAATCAAGATATATCATATAGATACAAATTCCCTATAATATGATCATTGTGTATATCTAAATTATAACAATAAATAAAAAAGAGAAACAATAAAATAATCAAAAGAGAAAATGAAAGACCCCCACCCCAAATCATTAGGAAAATAGGAACCCAGACCACAATGAGATACCCTGTCACACCCAGGAGGATTATGACCAAGAAAAAGAGAGAGAAAAAAATCACCATCATTCATCAAGATGTGAAGAAACCGAAATCCTTGTGCATCACTGGTGCGGATAGGAGATGCTGCAGCTGCCACAGACAACAGCACAGCGATTCCTCGAGCTTCAGTTACTTTACAACCCAGGGATCTCATTTCTGGGTAGATGCCCAGAAGAAGTGAAAGCAGGGATTTCAACAGGTTACATGTAGTATACCTGCGCTCAATCAACGTTTTTCTCAATAGCCAAAAGCCACATGCAAATTAAGTGTCCCCAGAAAGATGAATGGGTAAACAACATGAGGTCTACACACAATGGAACATCTTCCACCATAACTAACAAGGAAGGAAATTTTGATGGAGGCCACAACACGGACAAACCTTGAAGACATCTGTTCCCTGAAATACGCCAGTCACAAGGAACTGATACTGTGTAATTTCTGTGAGGTTCCTAGGCTGGGCAGACACACGGAGAGAGAAAGAGCAGGGCTGAAGAGTTCCTGTTTACAGGGTCCGGAACTTGGGTTAGGGAAGACGGACGTTCTGGAAGTGGATGGCAGCGACGGCTGCAGAACAGTATGACCGTGCCTAACTGTACGCTTAGAATACGTAAGTTAACCAATGGGACTAGAGAATAAACTGAGTATTAGCACAAAATAGAACTAAGTTCTAGCAAATAAATAAATCTGAACTAGCAAGGCCCTAACAGAGATGAAAATAAAATTAGTGACCTAGAGAAAATGCTAAGCAATCCCAGTGAAGGCAGAGGAAAACAGCAATTATTAAAGTTAGGAACTGCCAGGAGGCAGGAAGGACAATCATCAACAAATCAACCCAAGACACACTGGAGGTTAAACAAACACAACACAGGAGAACGGTCCTGTATGACAAAGACATGAACCTACACATACACAGACCACAAAAAACTGGATGCAGGATCCAGACAGGGATGAGACAAGACTGCTTACGGTGCCCATGCAGAAAAACAACACCTAAGCAAACAGGACCAACTTGAACAAGGAAAACTTCAGGTTGGCGCCAGCACTTGCTGGAGCAGTGTGCAGAGCCTGAGAGAAGAGGACACCAGTGACAGCTGAGAGGGAAGGACTGTAACCCGTGCGGATGCTTCTCTTCTGTGGTCTGCACAAGACTCACACTATGGTCTCTGGCTGTTACTTCTGGGGTGACTTGTTGCTTTCTTCTCTGTACATTTTTTGTTGTTGCTTGTTTGTTTTTTTTTTTAGAGGATTTCATTCAAGTCTGATGACAGCAGAGATGGAAACTGTATCCCTTTGAGGAATATGCTAAGGGGAGGCTGTCAGGGTCAGAAAATCCACATTTATATTCTAACACCAGATGGAGAACTATCAAGTTGGTTTTGAGGAAAATGCCCAATTTGCAGAGGTAACATTTGTCTTTTCACTCCACACCTTTTCTAATCCTTCCTTCTGCTTTCTAGTCTGAAAACAGCCAATCACATCTGGGAAGTTATACTTCTCAGCCAAACAGGGGTTTCATGGCTTCTGCCATTTCTTTGCACATATTTTCATTCTATTTTAGATAAGTAGGAAACTTTTTATATTAATGAAAATGTCTATTCTACTCGATTCTGACAACAGATGTGATCAGCATGGTTTGATTTATACACAGTGGCATTATCACCAGGGGAGAGAGATTAGAGTTTCTGTTTGGCTTAGTAGACAACAGAAAGCTAGTGAGAGCTCTTGAATAATTTTAAATAGGAAAAACGTGCATGAAAGACAAAATGCACCACAACTGTATTAACATTAGAAAATGAGTCTTTTTTCAAAGTTTTACTTCAACCTCAGTCTGTCCTAAGCCATGACGTTTCTGGGACTTGTTTGCATGGATTACACACTGGTTCTGGGATTCTGAGATTTCTGAAGTCGGGAGGGGAGACCGGAAGTGACTGGATGGACCAGCAAGATGTTACCTGAATCCACGCCTGCTGCTTCACGTCGCCTTTGTGGGTTTTACCTTCGTAGCCCTTGCCGCCATACTTCTGGTCTTCACTTAAGCACTTCACATGGTTTTTATAGTCGTTACCCCTTGAGAGTGGTCAGAAGCCCCAGTTAGATCAACACCCAGGTCACAGGCCCTGACCAGGGCACATGCTGTGCTGCCCTCTGCCTTTCTTCTCATCTGTCTCCTGCACAAGCACCCCGATTCCTATGCCCATTTTCTGGTGGTAAGTTCATTTTTTCTGTTTTTTGTTTTGTTTTTTTTTGCCCCGGTACCTGGAATCAAACTCACGACCTTGTGCTTGCCAGGCAGGCACTGTGCCACTGAGCTAAATCCCCAGCCCAGTTCATTTTTTCTGTACGCCAGCACATCCCAGCCCTGTGTAACAGGAACGCTCGAAGGTTCCTAAGTGGTCTTCTGAGCACTTGTGACCCTGGGCCCGGCAGAGTGGCAACAAGAGGTGCCCAGTGCCACTGTCTCATCAGCGCGGAAGCCCCCAAGACTTCCTTCCTTCTCTTTAGGGTTTAAAAATCAAATCGTTTCATAAAGCACTGGTAGAGAACTGCACCAGTTTTAATCAATGGACCCTGCAAGGCATTTTTCTTAGTTTCTTTCCTCAAATTTGCCTCTGTGAGGCCAGAACTCCCCAAACTGGTCTGAACCTTCACTGTGGATCTACACGAACTATGCAGAACTCACCAGAAATCTTTCCCACAGTCGATGCAGGAAAGGCACTCACAGTTCCTGCAAACAGACACATGCTTTTCCACTTGTATCTTCTTCACTGATTCGCCACATGCATTGCATGTAAAAAATACCATTTTTAGCTAAATGATTAAATATTCTCTATCCAAGATAGGTTTTAACTTGTCCTAAAAAAAAAAAAGGAAAAACAGATTATTGGTATCATAAACTGAAACTTCTATTCCCAATATGTGATTCATATACCTTTTCCTTAATAATTTCAACCATAATTTCACATGAATACAATGGATCCCAATGTTGATGAACAATTTGTGTAGAACTCTTACCACCCATGTAAGGAAGTTATCCCTAGTGAATAAGGGCAACATTGGCGGAGTGTGCATTTACTCTGTGCCAGGCATTATTCTAAGAAATTTACCCATATTAACTTATATAGCTTTCACAGACACCCTGTGAGGGAAGAACTATCATTGTTCAAAACTTACAGAATGCATGCCTTTTTTTTTTTTTTTTTTTTGGTCTTTTTGAGACAGGGTCTCACTGCGCAGTTCAGGCTGGCCTTGAGCTCACTTTGAAGCCCAGGCTACTCACAATGATCCTCTAGCCTTCCGAGTCCTGGGATTATAGGCGTGCACCACCACGCCCAGGTAATAATGCATGCCTATATCTAGCAATCTGAACAACTACTTTGAAGATAACAATATGCAAAATAACAGCCATTGTTGATTTCCTATCATCTTGTTTTGGAATTGTGTACCATTTTTATTGTTTTTTAAAATTTTTATTCCTTTAAAAAAAAAGTAATTAGGCCACAGAGAGATTAAGTAACTTATCCCAGGAAACAATAACAGAATCAAGATTTAAACCTAGTAGGGCTAGGGATATAGCTAAGTGGCACAAGTGCCTACCTGGCAAGCGCAAGGTCCTGAGTTCGATCCCCGGTACCCGTCCCCCTCCCAAAAAATGATTTAAACCTAGCAGATTGACTGTACCAATAAAGAGATTTTAGAGCACTATATATTTCACTTTCTCTAATACCTTTAAGTTCTCCTCCCTCTCATTCTCCCTGTGTAAAATATCCTTACACATGAAACTTATAAAAGGCACTATAATTTAGGTGTTCACTGAAAACAACTGCAGCTCCCCACATAGGGAAAATTGAGAGTTTAAAAAGTGGAAAGCCTAAAAACAGTGCGTGTCAGGCTTGGTGCTCAACTGTCAGTGCAGCACTTGGAAGTCTGAGGCAGGAAGATCCCAGGTTCAAGGGAGTCCAGACTACACTAGGTGAGGATGTATCAAAAAAATCGAACTCACCCAAAGCAAAACTTTCCCACAGGTACTAGAAATGTTCAGAGGGACGTTACACTGTACCCTCTGATGTGGCAGTGAGGACTCGCCCCTCAGCCTCGGCGGACTGGAGTAATGAGGAGCCTCCTGCACAGGGTTCTGGTCAGCTCAGTTCGAAAGACTTGGAACCATATCTGGCACCTGAACTTTGAGGGGCTGAGTCACGGGGGCGCTCACACCCCAGTATACTGGGTCTCTGGAGCACTGCCCTACAGGAAGTGAGTGTGCACATATACACACCCACCCCTTAAAATCTCACGGGCGCACACCGGTAACCCTAGCACTCTGGGGGTTGTGGCAGAAGGACTGAAGTTAAAAGCCTAGCCTGGGCAACTTAGCGAGACCCTGTCTTGAAATTCAAAAAAATACAAAAGAAAGCTGGGATGTAGCTCAGTGTGAATGCCCTGGGTTTGATCCCCAGTACCACAAACAAAGCAAAATACAGCCCGCATGGAGATGTCACCGTGCTCAGCAAAGCACAGATTCAGCTAAGTGGCAGAGAAGTCACAGTAACTTTCCACGCTTATATAATCACCAGATTCTAAAAGAACATTGTCAGTTTACATGTTCTGCATTATAAGTAAGTTTCACAGCAAAAACTTGACAACAGTTGAAACTAGCGTTTTCTTCCCCATTATGCTGATGAAACTGACCACCAAGTAAATCGATGGGGTTTGCTTCAGGGTAAGACTTTGCCCAAGAACCCTGACAATGAGCTCCCCTTGCCTGCAGTGAACCCTCACACATGAATCACCACGTTCCACCTGTGCTCCACCCAAGCGAGGATCAAGGCTATGCAAGGCCGCTCAGCCTTGAATGGAAATGTTCCTCCTGTCAGTCCCTCCCAGTGTACAAAGGCTCAGGGAGACACTACCCTCTCACAGTCAGCCCCTGACTTGCTAGGTACAAACGCAGGCCTGACCCCAGCTGGCGGGGTCCCCTAGTCAGCCTGCTCTCGGGGCTAGGTCAGAGAGCAAAGGCATGTGCTCAGCTACAGCCTGACCAAATCCGGAGGAAAGCAAACACGATGGCCCTGGGCCGCGCGCATCAACTCTCTCTTCTCCTCAGGTCACAGAGGCACAAGCTTGGGAGCTAGGGTCCCACTGACCTCACCTGGCTCCCCGGAAGTTCCCAGTTCTGAGCAAGGCAGAGGGAGCTCAGTCACGGCTAGCAGAACAGCTACTCTGTCTAAAAGGAGAACAAAGCCTGGAGTAAGAGCCAACATCACACCAACACAGGCTGGAGGTGCGCTTTTGTGTTCAAACAAGAGAACATCTTTAATTAGTCACCAAGAAAGGAACTGTCACCAGATGCACAAGGTAGCACAGCTGCATTGAGTCAAATTATCTGCTGGAAAATTCCAAAGTACTTTCACAATGAGATCCAACAATGGAAGCGGCCCTCCAAGTTAGATCCGGCTTAGAGCTCTCCAACCCCTGCTGTTGAGGACTATTCTGTTCCTTGACTGGGGAAGAAGAGGAGGGAGGCGAGAAAGGCTGCGGCAAGCCTTGGGGTCCAGCCGGGAGACACCAAGAGGACAGCCTTATGGAGAGTCAGGACTGAGGACCGAGAAGGGCGGCTGCAGACCGAACACCAGCCCAAGGGAGCCAGCAGTGTTGACCGCGGTGCCCAGGCCATCTGTGCAAGGCTTGTTCCCCTGGAGAGAAGCCACGACGTGTAAACACCAACTCAGGAGAGGGTTAAAAGCCAGCCACAGGCCTACTCAAAAGCCCCTCTTGGGCCATTTTCATTTGATGGCTTACCTAGTTGCTTTCTTCAAGGCAGAACAGCTTTCACACTTGACACAACCTGGGAACAGTGCGCCCACCTGCTCAGCTTATGAGATCAGATCCGTATCAGACCTGTAAGGAGCTTACACAGAGCCCGGGGACAGGTGGCACCAGCCCGAATGACCCTGACTGTGCCTCACAGCCACCCGAGTCCCCAGGGAAAATACCTTTCCCTGATGCAGTGCACACATGCATGCTGAAGAACGGCAACCTCAACTGCTCAGCAGACAGGGTCCCAGGCCTCAGTGCAGGCTTAGTAATTTCAGAAACGTTAATGCTACAAACTTCCAAAAAGCTGCTTTTGGCTGTGTATGTCTGTCCCTCTGTCCGGTCAGTTTTCTGAGCTTTCATCACATGCCACACCTGAGAAAAGCTAAAGGCCAAAAGGACCGAACGTGGGACCCTAGCTCTCTACAAAGTGACCTCATGTTCATATCGTGACCAGGCGCAGCACCTCCAGGACAGCTGTGATCCCACCTCCACTGGCTGGGAGTGCAGAGCCAGGCTTAGGAGGTGGAGGGATCTGCCTCAGACATAGTGAGTGGCTGAGGTGTCTGAAAGACAAGGTGGCAGCCCCAGCTCCTGTGCTGCTTCTATCCTCACCTGTTGCATCCCTGCCTTCTGCTTGGCCTGGAGATCCTCATCCAAAGGAGGGAAAAAGGAAGGTTCCACAATGTGACCTTCCATTTGTAAATATTAGAACCCTGGGGCTTCTTTCTAAAGCCAGCCCACCCTGGGCAAGGAAACACCCACGTCCAGGGGAAGGCCAACAGGTACTGGACAGCAATCCTGAGTTGGGGGAAGCAGCCAGGATCAGTCAGGGTTTGGAGTCTTGAGAAACTTCAGGGATGGACCGTAGTCTCCTCTTAACAAGATGGTGGTCATGTTTTGTTGGACTGGACCTGAATGAATATATGCCCTGAAGTTTGGTTCTAGGATTGGGATTTGGGATGATTTTTTGATTAGTTGTTTTTTTTTTTTTTTTTTTGGTTTTTTTGAGACAGGGTCTCCCTATGCAGTTCCAGCTGGCATTGAGGTCACTTTGTAGCCCAGGCTGGTCTCGAACTCACAACAATCCTCCTGCCTCAGCCTCCCGAGTGCTGGGATTACAGGCGTGTGTCACCATGCCCAGAGGGATGATTTTTAAAAGATCTTTCTCTTTCTACATTTCTATAGTTTTATTTTTCTTACAAAAATATTCACTATTCTTAAAACATTCTTTCACTCACACACACACTGACCTACAACCCATTACCACCACCATTCCAAAACAGGCCATCTAAGGGGCCAGGGCTGACAACTCCATCACAACCACAAGCAGTGAGCACAGGAACTAACCCAAGCCACTCCCTCTTTAACTCCCAGTCTCATCTGTGAAACACTGGGTCAAGCCAACTCCAACTAGACTAGACCCAAGTCCCTTCCAGGCAGAGAATATGGGGCATCCACAGGTCTTGTGGGAGAGCAGCACTGACCAGGACACCCCGTCCACACTCCTGCCTAAGCCTGTTGCGACAAAAAGCGCAAAAGGTGATCACAGAGAGGACCGTCCTCTGGGAAGGGCTAGGCGGTGGGAGCATGGATCTCTACTTTAACAGATGGCAACCTGAGCCTCACAGAAGTCAAGCCACTTCTTTGCTTCCCCACCCCACCCACGACATCACCTGGCCTGCTTTAAACCACTTTGCTTCGCTCTAACAACTACCTTACGTCTAACACCAAGCCCTGTGCACATGGGGCGGCTCTGAAGTAGTCAGGCTTGCAAATGCCTCACCTCTCTTTCTCTTCAGAGGCGCACGCTGCAAGAGTCGACGTTTCCTGATCATCTAGTATGTGCCAAGCCCGCTCCTGGGTGATTAACTCGGTTCTACTCCCATAACCCCCTCCCGTTTGGACGAAGAAGAGACGGGCAAAGCCACTTGCTCCAGGACGCACGTGCGGGAGTGGCAACCCCGCTCAGCACGCATTTATTCCGGCCTGTGCTCCAGAACGCCAGACCCAAGGGCCCTCCTTGGGGACTAAGACAAGAGCCCCGGCCTCACCATGCAGCAAGCCCGAAGCCCACAGAGCGGTACCGCCCCGGGCCGGAATGGTCACCCCGGCCCCGGCCCCCGCACTGTCGCGGCCGGCCGGGTCTGAACGGATGCCCTCGTCCTCCGCGAGCGTGAACCTAGGAAGGGCTGCCGGTGGGGACGCAGGCCCCGTCACACTCCCTGTCCTCGCCGTCCGGAGCCGCAGGCCTCTCCGCCACCGCTCCTCACCTCTCAGCAGCGCCCGCCAACGGTTTAACCGGCCGCGGGAGCACGTGGGCCGCTCCGACCCGCGCTGTCGCCACCACTCCCAGCGGCCCGGCGCCGAACTCGCCTCCACGCCGCTACGCGCGTGCGCGCCCGCCACGCCCCTGGCGGAAGTGACGTTACCGGAAGTCGGGCGGGCCGGGCGGCCGAGGGGGCGTTGTCGGAATGGTCTGGCGGCCGGTGAATCCTGGGTGTAGGTGCTGAGGCCCTGGGCGGCGGGTAAAGGAAGAGGCGGAGGCGGGGCAGGGAGCGGCCTCGAGGGTAAGGTGGCCGCCGGCGCGGGGGGCCGGCCTCGCGAGGGCGTGCGGGGCCCGGGCGGGTGGCGCGGCCTGGGGAAGGCCAGGCGCCTCTGGGTGCCCGGGGGCTCAAGGACCCGCGCCAACCACGCATCCCGGCCCTGCGAGGGTCACCGCGGGGCCGGGTCCCCAAGCGGGTCTGCTTGTGCCGGGCGCCCGCGGGGACGGGGAGACGCAGGGGCCAGGCCTGAGAGTCGGACGCCTGCCTCGTGCCCTGCCCGACCTGCTGCGCATCCCCCGGCGCTGCCCATCCCCGCCCTGGCCCGAGGGTCTCTGGGCTCCTAGTCCCCGCGTGACTCGCGTTGTCGGCGGCGCTTAGGACCTCAGAACTCTGCCCAGCCCGGCTTCATTCCGACCTGACCTCACCAGCCTCCGTTCCGCCTGTGTAAACCGGGTATGGCAGCAGTGCCCGCGTGGTCCGGACCTTGTAGGACTTAGTGAGTGTGCGTGTCAGGTGCTCGCCCGGTATCTGCCAGCTAATACGTGCTCCATAAACGTTAGCTTTGAGATGGGCTCTGGCGTACCGTGCTGGTCACTAAGTATTTGTTGAATGAATGAGTGAATGAATGAAAGAATGGGGTTTGAGCAGATGATTGTGAGAGACATTAACCGCAGGATGGAGTATGGGAGATTTTCCTCTGGAAATAAGGAGAGGAGAACCCAGAAGAGCAAGTGTATTCCTCTGCCAGGGCTGTCATAACAATACACCAGGTGGTGTACAATACACCAGGCCATTTAGGCAACAGAACTTGTTTTCTCATAGTGCTGGAAGCTGAAGTCCAAGCTCCGGGTGTCACCAGGTTTACTTTCTTCGGAGGTCTGTCTCCTTAGCACAGCATCTGGCCACCTTCTTGCTGTGTCCTCACATGTCCTTTCCTCCCTGCTCTCACATCTCTCTTCATATCCAAATCTCCTCTTATAAACGTATCAGGACAGCAGAGCAGAGGAGGAACCCTAATAGCCTCGTTTCAACTTCATTCCCCATTGAAAGGCCTGGTGTCCCCATGCAGTCCCATTCTGAGGGGACACAGTTGAGCCAGCCCATAACAAGCAGTTCACCAGAATGGACAAGGAGGGAAGTATTTGCCAATGAAAGTGACAGAATGGCCACGCACATATACCACATTCTTGATTGTGTCATCCTACATTTCCTTTTCATTTGCTCCTTCTGAAAATCCAGAGCAAAAACCCTCTTCATTGTGTGGCAGACTTAACTCTGCCAAATAGTGAACACGCTGTAAAGTGAAGAGAATGATGGAAAACAGACATGGAGCTTGTGGAAGCCAGGGGACAGATCTTGTTCAGTCCTTGTGACAATATCTTATATGTGTTAGACACAGAAACATCTGCTTAACTGAGTAGGGCTTCCTGGTATGATGGAGTCAACATAAAGCTAAGACAGGATTTGAGTGCTGTTTGGGTTAGGGTGAGGGGCTAGGAGTTTGAAAAATATGGTGAGCAAAAACATATCTAAGATGAGCTTGGTACTGAGGCACATGGCCTGTGGACTCAGCAATTATCTATTAATGGCCCCATGGAAAAATTCCTACATATTGATGCACTGGTATTGGACCAGTGGGTAGAATGGCCACACCAAATGTGGGAGGTTTCTCTGCAGGTTAGAGGCCTGTTTTGGCTCTTGTTCCCTTTAGAAGTACCTTTGTTTTCACATTTATCCAAGCTTTTCCTTGTAGTTTTCTTTTCCTTTTTGCCCGTATTTCCGTTGTTTGATGCTATTCAGATCAAACCAATCATTTCACCGTCACATCCCTGGTATATATTTGTAGCTTTTCAAAAAACCTTAGAGTCATCTAATCACTGAAGGACTCCTCCATTTTTACAGATGAAAAAACAGACCCAGATCTCCATCCATACAAAAATTACTGAGCATCTGGCATTGAGCACAGCCCTCCAGCTTTGCTTTTACCATGCTGTACTGATAAAGGCGGAGCCTACTCAGGCAGGCGCTTTGCTGCTGAGCTAAATCCCCAGCCCCTAGGCGGAGCCTACTCAGATTCAAGGGGAAGCAGTGTCAGAGAGCCTGTGGTTGTCTGTAATTTGCCAACTTCCTCATAGTCTTCATCTGTAAAGTGAGGGTAGGAGTAGTGTCAGTCTCAGAGTTATAAGTTATTCTGGAAGTTAAATCAATTAATAAAGGTGAAGAGCTTAGGATAGTGCCTGTATTATAGGAAACAGCTATTTGTCATTACTGTGCTAGATGTGGGATACAATATTATTTATGGTTGTTATGTATAGGACAGATTAAAAAGTATAAGATATAAATTCTTTTTCCAGAGCTTTTTATAACCTTTCTGGAGAGGTACAGGATTGACTTTATGAACTAATTTAGAGAACTATACAAAATAATTCCAAGAGTGAGAATTTTTGTAGTAAAAGTAAATTGTAGAACGGTTCATAAGTGCCTATAACCATAACTCTGGGGCTCTTCCCAGAGGATTTTCTTTCTATATCATTTCTACAGAAGTAGAAAACATAGATCCAGAATATTTGCTGTGTTTTAACATTTTATGTCTGCAGAGGAGGGTTTCGGGTTTACCGTGTAGTGTCTTTTTTCCCATGGGAGAAAGTTCAGCATAAGAACATGAACTCTAGGTTGAGGAACCAGGATTCACATCCTGACTTTCGCACATAGCAGTTTTAGGATCCTTAACAAGTTACTGAAACTCCTCATTTCTCAATTTCTTCCATTGTAAATAGTGACACTCGAGTTCTGATAGAGTTAAGTTCATGGATATCATATGCTTATCTAGGCGTGTAGTGAGTAGAGAGTGAGTGATCGCTACTAACAATAAAGCAAGAAGTCCTTTCCTTTCCACTGCCTGGGTGGTGGGGCTAGGTAGCTGGTTACTCAGTTAGGGGCTCACCACTTGAGAAGGTGCCGCCACCCGTCATTGTGTTGCCTTCCTGGTCTCTTGTTTGCGGCTGTGTTATGCCCCCCGGCCCTCATCTGTGCTTCCTCTCTAGCCTCACCCTGCTCTGAGTCCCTGCACGTCAGGAATGAAGCTTTCCATAACGAAATGGGAGAATAGGTGTGAGAGCTGCGATCATGGGGGATGGCCGGCAGGGCTTTTAAGTTGAGGGGTCATACCTTGGAGGCGTTCAGCAGAGAGCTGAAGATTTGAAACTGGAGTCAGAAGCCAGCTGCAAATGTAAGAGATGCCTGGGTATACCCAGTGAAAGCCAAAATTTAAGGGAAAGAAGTTTGCCAGCTGAGGGGCTGAGGCCTGTCCCTTAAGGACCAGGAACAGATGTCAGGCTGGACCAGAGTCACAGCCGAGAGGCAGGCAGGTCAGGGCCGTGGAAGGGAGAGCCTGGGGAAGGAGCATTTGGGGATGGCACAGGTGGGTGTCCTTCAGGGCAGCTGGCGAGAACGGTGAGGCCTGCCGGGAGGTGTTGGGGAGCATCTGTCAGCAGGGAGGGCACAGGGGAAGAGGAGTTGTACCTAAGTGAAGGGGAAGAGGAGTTGTACGTAAGTGAAGTGGAGAGTTGCTGTCTGTTCTGAGTGGTGCGAAGAGGCTTGTGGTGAACGGACAGGCGTCGCTGTTGCTCTGTTTTCTTTCATGTTCTGTGTGGGCCTTCCTGGAGTGCTTGTGGGACAGAGTGAAGAACTGGAAGGGGGAGCAATGAAACAGTCAAAACGATGGGATGGATCTCAGGCGCCCTGCTTCCTGGGAGGCCCAAGGGAAGGAAGGGGCAAGCAGGAACTTTGGAAGTAAGAAAACAGCAGAAGGCACTCAGCTTACATTGAATTAGGCATGGGCTCACCTGTGTCTGAGTCAGAGTTACAGTCATTTCCCTGGGCGCGGGAGACAGACGTGGTGGGAATGAAGAGTGTGGAGGATTTAGAACAGCACCAGTGGGGCAGAGAGGGAAGAAGTAAACAAGTGTGAGTGAAAGCATTACGGGGCTGGGGATGTAGCTCAGCGGCACAGCACTGGCCTGGCAAGCGTGAGGCCCTGAGTTCGATTCCCAGAACCAAAAAAAAAATAAAAACCCATTATGCATGAACACCCTTTCACCAGCAGAGGTTTGCTAGCTTGAGTTCAGTGTGAAGGATGCACTTCACGCCAGGCAAAGGAGAATGAGATAGCCACAGTGGAGCTCAAGACACAAACAAAGGGACACTCAGCTATCTTATAGAAGCACCGGCAGGGTGCTGTGAGATTGTGGAGCAGTGACCCCACAATGCACCTGAGACTTGAGAAGATCTCACCAGTCAGCTGAGGGTTCTTCTGCTCTATTCAGTTGGAATCATGAGTTGGCAGAGTATAGCTCCATTAGTGGTTCTGGGTGCTGCTGGCCCTTGGCTCTTGGCCCCAGGCTCTACGACCCTGGGCTGTGCGTGCCGGTGGCCCTTGACCCTTTCAGTACCAGGCTCAGCATCTCCAGCGACCCCTCAAAATCAAGGCTCACAGCCCCTCTGGCAGCTGACTTCCACCACCGCATGGGTTCTCTGCTGGTCACTGCCAATTGTCACCAAATGCCACTGGTGGCTGCTGGTTAGTGCCGCAGCTGGTCTCAGCCACGAGTCTCCACTGGTGTCTGTTGCCAGTCAGAAACTCTTGAGTGCTAGCGGAGTGTGACCCACTCATGCAACCTCCTCTGCCCCTTACACCCAAGATGAGAGTCACCAGGAGGTTGGCAGAACGGCTAAGCAAGGCTTTCCTGGAACCTGTGCTGCAGCAGGGGAGGAGGGGTAGCGCACGAGCACAGCTTATGTGGAGCAGAACCTGCATGCGCAATTTTGCGTATTTCGTGGCCCTGCTGGAGAGCTTCACAGTAATGGCAGCAGGGGCAGAGTCATGAGTGGCCACAGGACAGAGTCATCTAGCCACCAAGCCAGGTATTTCCTGGAGCAGCCGGAGGGGCCTAGACAGCTAGAGCTGTCTTGCAACAGTCCACAGATCTGGGAGAAATCACCACTGGATCGACAGCTGCTTCATCTCTGCAAGAAAGGTGTGGTTGAAATCGTGACTGCCGCCGCATTTGAGGACTCTAGGAGTTCTTGGGGTGTAGGGATTGTGGGGACACCAACAATAGGCCCACCTGCCCCTCCCCTTGCCCTTGTGGAGCTTGGTTTCTTCTCTTCCGAGGCAGCAGCAGCCCCAGAGCAGTGTGGGAGCAGCCTGGCTTCTGTTATTGCAGCCTGGGGTGGTTACGGAAGCAAGCAGTGGTGGAAACACACCGTCACCATCCCCTGCCCACCCTTGAGAAGGCGGGGAGAGTGAGAGGGAGCTGGGAGTGTGACTGCTACGAGTCACATTGCGCCCCCTTCTGGCTGGGTTCAATCCGGAATCACAAGAGAAAAAAAAAAAGCAGGAAGTAGATGACCTCAGGGAGCCTGACCTGGGGTTGGGGTCAGATGGGAACAGAGGGGCACTGCAGGTTCCTAGGAGAGAACAGAATGCAGAGCATCATCTGAAGGCCTCCTGTACCAGAATCACCCAAATGTAAGTGATGCAGAGCAGCAGGACAGGCATGGCAGGGAGTAATAGGCACCTTCGACCAGCTCCCTGACCCTTAGAGATTCTATTTCCAGGTTAGTCACACAGGCCAGGCACTATTCTAAACATCTCCCTTGTTGTTGCAGTAATCTGTGACATAGGGTAGGGGCAGCAGTACACAGAACTCACCAGCCCAAAGTCCTGTAGTGAATGATCAGTGCAGCTGAGGCTCCAAGTAATGCCAAGAGCATAGCGTGCCTGGGCAGCCCACGTGGTTCATTTTGGTGTTCCTTGGAGTGATGGGAGACAAGGCAGGGGGACAGGCAGGACCTTGTTAGAGAGCCTGGATTTTGGCTGTGTGGTGTAGTGACTTTCAGTAGTGCTTACACAGTGAAAATGTAATCAGAGAAAACCAGTAATGCCTTGGAGCATTTTTAGTGTGCAGAACTGCGTTTTTAAATCCCCACCGTCTTGCCCAAGTCCGATTCTTCCTCAGTCTTTCTTCCCATTGCTTCTGTCCTGTAAATCCGCCTGTTGGCCTGAGCTGCTGGCCATCTGAGGCTGTATCTTCCTCAGCTGTGTGTCCCAGTGTGTAGTAGCTATAACTACTTTGATCAGTTGTGTGCTGGACACTTTGTTGTATTTTCCTCCCTAGAATTTAAGCTTCATGACAGTGGGGACCTGTTGTGTTTTGTTCACTGTTAACTTTCCTAGAACCTAGCGTGCCGTAGTCACTCAATAAAAACCTGTCCAGTGAGCAGACTTTCTGTGTTCACATCTTGGCTTCATCTTTGGCAGAGTCAAAGTTGGGTCTCTGCACTGGTCTGGTAGTCATCCTGGTTCCCTCAAGCAGGCCACCTCCTCCCACCCCCCAGCCACTTTTCACAGCTCATTTTGGGCCCTGACAGCTCATTCCTGCACCTGTCTGCCTCTGACTTGTGCACTACCTCCCTCCTTCCCTCCCTCCCTCCCTCCTTCTCCTTCCTTCCTTCTTTTCTTCCTTCCTCCCTTCAAGTCTCTGCTGTTGTCGTGTCTGTCACTGGCACAGGGGCAGGCACAAAGGATGTGCTGTTGGGCAGTGCCAGTTGTCACTGCCTGGTGGTGGGGACTTTGCTGCACTTTAGCTCCCATGATTTTCCCCAGCTTTGAATTCACCGACCCGTACGTATGGATATGATCTTAACTAGTTGGCTTTTTAAAAACCTTACATGTGTTTATATATATTTTAATGTGCTGTAGATATAACAGAAGTGTGTGTGTGGTATCATTACGACCTCACAGTCTAGATTTGCACTGCCCAATACAGTGGCCACTTAAATTAATATTCCAGTTCCTCCACCATGTTTGCAGGCCCGGACAGCACACATGGTTAACAGCTGTGCACTGAGCAGGGAGCAGCGAGCATTTCCTCTTGCAGACAGGTCTGTGCATATCGCCGGTCCACTGAACAGGTGTGTGTGCGAGCGTGTGCACGCACATGTGCACACACACTGTGACCAAGGGGACGGTGCTGTCCTGTCCCATGATGGCGCAATGAGCTTGCTGCTGTCTCTGCTACAGGTCTCCTGGTGTAGCATGGACCCAGTTGCCACCCACAGCTGCCACCTCCTCCAGCAGCTGCACGAGCAGCGAATCCAGGGCCTGCTGTGTGATTGCATGCTGGTGGTACATGGCGTCTGCTTTAAAGCGCACAAGAACGTGCTGGCCGCCTTCAGCCAGTACTTCAGGTGCGTGGCTCCCCACGTCCCACGTCCCGTTCCCTTCCTGCATTTCTGTCCTTACAGCATATGCGGGTTTATGGACTTAGTTCATTTTAATTTTTAGTTTAATACAGTTAATATTATTACTGTTTTTGTGTTCATAGAGTAACCTGAAAGGAAAAGATGCTCTTATATAAAAGACATTTGGGATACTTGAAAGTATTTTGGCACTTGTGTTTCATTTTAATACTTATAATTAATTTCAGTCCTCTATATTTCTCTTCCTTTCAGGATAAAATTGATTGAGCAACTGAATTTCTGGTAGTAATTTTTCTGTGAAATGAAGAATGCGGAAAAAATCCTACATGCTATTCTCTTCTTTTTTTCCTTGAGATAGGGTCTTGCTATGTTGTCCAGACTAGCTTTGAACTCACAGTGTATCCCGGGCTGGCCTCAAACTTCTCTGCCTCAGCTTCCTAAGTACTAGAATTACAGGCATGTGCCACCACACCTGGCTCTGATCTTTCTTTTTAATTTAAGCTGCAGGCTTGACCTGTGCCCAGAACCAAGAGTCTGAGCCTCTGCATGCCTTTTTCCTTCATGAACTCGTGGGGCATTTCTTAATGTTGGTTCTGAACATGCAGTTACCCAAAAACCTACCAGCCAAATAAATTGCTAGTTATAAAGTGACTGTCTACTGAAGTTTACTTTAAAATAGCGATTTTTATTTTTAGAAGTTATTGAGGCACTTAGGCATACAAATATTTGTGTATTTTATGGTCTGCAGTGTATCACTTATCAGAATAAATACAAAATAGTAAATGAAAATTTACTTTTCTGTATTAGTATACATTTAGAAAAATATTTAGAATAACCATATATGTTAAATAGATCATAGTTTTTAGGTCTTGATTTGTGGTTTATCAGCAAATATATTTCAGATATTTACTTTGGTATCTGTTTTTAAAGTTAAATACCTAAAACACTACTTACTTCATTTGCATTGCTTCATTGGATGGTGTGGCAAACTGGTTTAAAGGATTAAAACATGCTTACAATAAACCAGGCATGGTGGTGCACACCTGTAATCCTAGCAGTCTAGGAGCCAGGGGGATCTCAAGTTCAAGCCTGGGCAACTTAGCAAGACTCTGTCTCAAAATTTACAAAGAGCTGAGGATGTAGCTCGTTGCGAAAGCCGTGGGTTCAATCCCCAGTACAAAAAACATAGGCATCATGGCCTTTACAGAGTAGCATTTTTAAATATTAATATAGGAGTGCTATTCACAAGAATGTGTGCACTGCTCACAGTATAAACAAGTCTCCTTTCTTCTGTCAGGAGCCTCTTCCAGAATTCCTCAAGCCAGAAGAACGACGTTTTCCACTTGGATGTGAAGAACGTCAGCGGCATAGGGCAGATCCTCGACTTCATGTACACGTCACACCTCGACCTTAACCAGGACAACATACAAGTCATGCTGGACACAGCCCAGTGTTTGCAAGTTCAGAACGTCCTCAACCTGTGCCACACGTTTCTGAAATCAGCCTCTCTGGAGCAGCCGCCTGGCCTGCCCTGTGGTAGTGCCTTCTCCCTACAGGGCGCTCTGCCCCCTGAAGCCACCTGCGTTCTGAATGAAAGCTACCCGCCACCCCTCCTGCCCGAGTGCCCAACAGAGGCCCAGCATGGCAAGGTTCTGGAGGAAGTGCATGCCCCCGCCCTGCCCGGTCTCCATCATCCTGCGGGCGAGATGGCCAAACAGGCCTCAGATGCTCTGGACGGCAGCTGCACCGAGCTGCCTGGCAAGCAGCCCAGTTACTACTACAAGCTCCGGGACTTTTACAGTAAGCAGTACTACAAGCAGGCCGCTTGTCCCGGCCATGAGCGAGCAGCTGAGCAGCCCTTTGCTTTCTCCTCCTCCACAGACCTCACTGCGGTGGAGACCCAGCCATGCACGGTCAGCCACTCCGAGTGCCTCCTGGAGTCCTCAGAGCACCTGCCCACTGCCTTTCTGGCCCCCCCACTAAGTGACTCTGCCCCTGACCCCGAGGCAGACACCCCCTGCGAACAGCCGACCAAGCAGATGCGGCTCAAAAAGGCCATTCACCTGAAGAAACTCAATTTCCTAAAGTCACAGAAATCTGCAGAGCAAGCATCCGAACCCAAGTCAGATGATGGCTTAGACAAGGGGATGCAATGTGCTAGTGAAAATACGGGAGAGAACGCTGGCAGCCACAGTGCAGAAGCCAAGGAGAGCAGGGACCTCAGCTCTGAGCCGTTTCCCTGTGGCATCAGGGAAGCGGAGGCACCCGAAGTGCCCGCTGCTCTGGAGGAGCAGTCCCAGAGCCTGCAGCCCCAGAGACAATACGCGTGTGAATTGTGTGGGAAGCCTTTCAAACACCCGAGCAACCTGGAGCTGCACAAGCGGTCTCATACAGGTACACTGCTCCGGACCTGCAGGCTCGGGGAAGGAAGTAACGTGGGTGTGCGGCGCCCCTGCCTGTCCTTGTTTTCGTAAGAAGCTTCCCTCTTTCTTGATGAAGTCATTGGTATCTGTAAATAAAACTCAAGGGCGTGGCAATGCACACCTGTAATTTCAGCCTGATTTAGGAGACTGAGGCAGGAGGATACGGAGTTCAAGACCAGCATGGGCTACGTAGTGAGTTCCTAACCAGCCTGAGCTACAAGACCCTACCTCAAAAAAAAAGAAAAGAAAAAACTAGATGCTATTAGCTACTTTTCACTTTATAGTTTTGGTGATGCATCTTAAAGTTCTAGAAATGGTTTTATAGAATTGCTTTAAAAAGATGACAGACTTCATTACTTCTTTTTTTTTTTTTTTTTTTTTTTTTTTTTTTTTT